AGATATGTCAGAATATATGCCAGAAAATATACCAGATAGAATGCCAGATAAAATACCAGAAGATATGTTAAATAGAATGCCAGAAAATATGCCAAATAAAATATATCAGATTTGCCAGATAGAATGCCAGAAGATATGTCAGAAGATATGTTAAATAGAATACCAGAAGATATGCCAGATAGAATGCCAGAAGATTTGCCAGATAGAATGCCAGATAGAATGCCAGAGATATGTTAGAATATATGCCAAAATATATGCCAGAAGATATGCCAGATAGAATGCCAAATAGAATGTCAGAATATATGCCAGAAGATATACCAGATAGAATGCTAGATAGAATGCCAGAAGATATGTCAGATAGAATGTCAAAAGATTTGCCAATAAGAAAATCTATAAATGTCATGGTGGGGATCACACGAAGTAAAGTATTTTTTTTTTTTCTTCGACTAGATTTTTTCCTTTTTATTTCTGTGTTCTTCCTTTTTTTTTAAATATGTTTTTTTATTATATATGTATTAATTTTTACCTGTATTTCAGCTTTGCTAATTTTTCGCTAAGCTTTTTACTAAATCTCTTCGCTAAGATTTTTGCCAATTTCCCCCCTCAGTATGCACCGCTGGACCTCAACCTGGGACCTTCCCAGCTCAGTATGCATCGCTGGACCTCAACCTGGGACCTTCCCAGCTCAGTGTGCACTGCTGGACCTCAATCTAGGACCTTCCCCGCTGGACCTCAACCTGGGACCTGCCCAGCTCAGTGTACACTGCTGGACCTCAACTGGGGGCCTTCCCAGCTCAATGTACACCGCTGGACCTCAACCTGGGACCTGTCCAACTCAGTGTGTACCGCTGGACCTCAACGACCAGATAGAATGCCAGAAAATATGCCAGATAGAATGCCAGAAAATCTATCAGATAGAATGCCAGAAGATATGCCAGATAGAATGCCAGAAGGTATATCAGATAAAATATTAGATAAAATGCCTCAAAATATACTAAATAAAATCCCAACAGATTTGCCAGATAATATGCCAGAAGATATACCAGATAAAATGCCAGATAAAATGCCAGAAAATATACTAGAAAATAAATCTGAAAATATATCAGATAGAATGCCAAAAAATATATCAGAAAATATGTCAAAATATATGCCAGAAGATATGTCAGATAGAATGCCAGAAGATATGTCAGATAGAATGCCAGATAAAATACCAGAAAATATGTCAGATAGAATGCCAGAAGATTTATCAGTAAGAAAATATA